TATTGACATTTAATTATATTTGTGTTTTTTATATAATTTTGCTGTTTTTTAAAACTTATTTCAGAAAACTTAGCTAATTAAACGGTTGTAAATCTATGGATCTCTATATCTCTCTATATGAAAGAAAGTGGTCGGATGACAGTTCGGGTCCTTACCCTCAATATATCTATCTGACTTTTTGTAAGCGCCTCGATAAATAGATGTGCCCGTATGGAAAATTTGTCGTTCAGACTTTGGGACCTCCCGGAGGGCAAAAACCTGACCGCGAGTACAATCAAAGAAGATATAAAACTATGTGTGTAGAAAATTTACTGTTATCGAATGTTAGGTTATAGAATGATGGAGCAATGAACTTGAGGGTTATAAATTATGGTCAATGATGCGATGTCTTTTTAAGTTACTTCGAATTTAACGTTGAAGTTTATAATTATTCTTGTACACGTATGATTTCCCTTATATGGTAATCAGACATATTTTATGTTTATTTTTTAAGAGTTTGTGGTTATATTTTGATTTTGTAGTGAGGGTTATGGTTTATGTTTTTGGGTTTTTGATTATTTTAGGCGTCGGAGTGCTAGGAGGGATGAGGGTGGTATATATATATATATATATATATATATATATATATATATATATATATATATATATATATATATATATATATATATATATATATATGTGTGTGTGTGTGTGTCTGCGAAAATAATAAGGGTGCCATTTTTTCAATACACGGGTAGGCGCCCAGAGTTCTTGAGCGGCTATCCTAGCACTAGGTATCCGTTATCCGTTAATCGGACGTCCTGAATAGAGGTATTTACTTTATTAATCGGTAAAACTGCAGCAGACGCAGCCGCCAGCTCCACGGCAAAATCCTGACCCGAAGCGTCATGGGCGCCCTTGTAAGCACAATGGCGTTTTCTTTGGTCTAAAAAAAAGCTATACACGACAGACACAAAGAGCAACAATAATCATTGACCATATCGTAAGCTGCGTAAAATTTGGTGCCCCGGGCTATCCTGTGAGCAATATGGCACCTACGTTAGTTTTAAAGAGCACCCTATAATATTGACACTATGTCACACGGCATTTGATTATTAAACCCAGCCAGGGACCATACACGGCGCCCAAGCGGTAGTGTAACTGGTGGTTCCAGAGAACGCCCTACTACGTCCCTGAAACTTGAGCGGTCGTTGAAGACCGTTTTACTCTGATGAAGAACGATTAACGTATCTTCTAGGCTTTCATACATCACACTTTAGCATTAGTATCGCATTGATGAAACCCTCTTTAATATTGTGTCAGGCTTTCTTTTTAAAAAATACGTGCGAAAATTGATTGACAACATAGAACATGAATTCAAGATTTTTTTATACGTATTTCTTAATGTGTTATTTAATTTAATAATTTTAAATATGTTAGATGAGATATAAAAATAATCTGTCCATAGGATAGATGAGGTATATGTTTCTTTAACTCTAGGCATATGGAGGTATATTAAGATACGTTCTACACCCTGTCTCCTTTGTTGTGAACACAAGGACACGCGTTTACAAGTAATTAAGTACAAAGCGTAATTTATAAGACGAACATCTACAATCGGGGTACAAAACACAAGACTAAATGAAACAAAGGCTTGTTAATAATAAAATATTTTATTACTATCTAAACAACACAGGTTATTTTAAATTTAAATACATAAGCTAGTACACAAACTACGATGCAATGGCTACAGAGTTTCTTCCAGGCATCTCTTTGCCCCCCCCCCCCCCAGAACGATATGAAACTTATATAACCAGCATTACACGGCTGTAACCCCAGCCTAACACGGCTGTAACCCCAGTCTTACACGGCTGTAACCCCAGCCTTACACGGCTGTAACCCCACACGGCTGTAACCCCAGCCTTACACGGCTGTAACCCCAGCCTTACACGGCTGTAACCCCAGCCTTACACTGCTGTAACCCCAGCCTTACACGGCTGTAACCCCAGCCTTACACGGCTGTAACCCCAGTCTTACACGGCTGTAACCCCAGCCTTACACGGCTGTAACCCCACACGGCTGTAACCCCAGCCTTACACGGCTGTAACCCCAGCCTTACACGGCTGTAACCCCAGCCTTACACGGCTGTAACCCCAGCCTTACACGGCTGTAACCCAGCCTTACACGGCTGTAACCCCAGTCTTACACAGCTGTAACCCCAGCCTTACACGGCTGTAACCCCAGCCTTACACAGCTGTAACCCCAGCCTTACACGGCTGTAACCCCAGCCTTACACGGCTGTAACCCCAGCCTTACACGGCTGTAACCCAGCCTTACACGGCTGTAACCCCAGCCTTACACGGCTGTAACCCCAGCCTTACACGGCTGTAACCCCACACGGCTGTAACCCCAGCCTTACACGGCTGTAACCCCACACGGCTGTAACCCCAGCCTTACACGGCTGTAACCCCACACAGCTGTAACCCCAGCCTTACACGGCTGTAACCCAGCCTTACACGGCTGTAACCCCAGTCTTACACGGCTGTAACCCCAGCCTTACACGGCTGTAACCCCACACGGCTGTAACCCCAGCCTTACACAGCTGTAACCCCAGCCTTACACGGTAACCCCAGCCTTACACGGCTGTAACCCCAGCCTTACACGGCTGTAACCCCAGCCTTACACGGCTGTAACCCCAGCCTTACACGGCTGTAACCCCAGCCTTACACGGCTGTAACCCCCTTACACGGCTGTAACCCCACACGGCTGTAACCCCAGCCTTACACGGCTGTAACCCCACACGGCTGTAACCCCAGCCTTACACGGCTGTAACCCCACACGGCTGTAACCCCAGCCTTACACGGCTGTAACCCCACACGGCTGTAACCCCAGCCTTACACGGCTGTAACCCCACACGGCTGTAACCCCAGCCTTACACGGCTGTAACCCAGCCTTACACGGCTGTAACCCCAGCCTTACACGGCTGTAACCCCACACGGCTGTAACCCCAGCCTTACACGGCTGTAACCCCAGCCTTACACGGCTGTAACCCCAGCCTTACACGGCTGTAACCCCACACGGCTGTAACCCCAGCCTTACACGGCTGTAACCCCACACGGCTGTAACCCCAGCCTTACACGGCTGTAACCCCACACGGCTGTAACCCCAGCCTTACACGGCTGTAACCCAGCCTTACACGGCTGTAACCCCAGTCTTACACGGCTGTAACCCCAGCCTTACACGGCTGTAACCCCAGCCTTACACGGCTGTAACCCCAGCCTTACACGGCTGTAACCCCAGCCTTACACGGCTGTAACCCCAGCCTTACACGGCTGTAACCCCACACGGCTGTAACCCCAGCCTTACACAGCTGTAACCCCAGCCTTACACGGCTGTAACCCCAGCCTTACACGGCTGTAACCCCAGCCTTACACGGCTGTAACCCCAGCCTTACACGGCTGTAACCCCAGCCTTACACGGCTGTAACTCTGATCTTACACGGCTGTAACCCCAGCCTTACACGGCTGTAACCCCAGCCTTACACAACTGTAACCCCAGCCTTACACGGCTATAACCCCAGCCTTACACGGCTGTAACCCCAGCCTTACACGGCTGTAACCCCAGCCTTACACGGCTGTAACCCCAGCCTTACACGGCTGTAACCCCACACGGCTGTAACCCCAGCCTTACACGGCTATAACCCCAGCCTTACACGGCTGTAACCCCACACGGCTGTAACCCCACACGGCTGTAACCCCAACACGGCTGTAACCCCAGCCTTACACGGCTGTAACCCCAGCCTTACACGGCTGTAACCCCACACGGCTGTAACCCCAACACGGCTGTAACCCCAGCCTTACACGGCTGTAACTCTGATCTTACACGGCTGTAACCCCAGCCGTACACGGCTGTAACCCACCACTTCACTGCTGTAGCTCACTACATTTCTCTTTACTTCTAGCTCTTGGTTTATTGTAATACTCTGTGATTTTTCGCAAAAAAAAAAAATGCTGCTGCATCAAGTCTATCAAAACATCGTTGTTTCAAAGGTCGCATCGTCCTGTGTGTATTAAATATTCATTGGGATGCAACACACCATAGCAGTATCCAAACAGCAATATTTTATTAAATAAATGCAAACTTTAATCACCAAAAGTTTTATACTTCAACACTCGTCACAACAACAACACAGCTACCATCTACAAACATCGTTTTATCAAATATGGCATTTAATTACTACAGGCTCACAAAATCGTGGTGTTGAATGTACATGAGAAAATAGTTACCAACAAGCGGTAAAACAAAAAATAATAAGAGAATAAGGCTACAGTGAGTAGCGTAACAATGCAGGAGCGGTAATTAGGACCGCGCCTAGTAACATCATCTATATATATATATATATATATATATATATATATATATATATATATATAGAGAGAGAGAGAGAGAGAGAGAGAGAGAGAGAGAGAGAGAGAGAGAGAGAGAGAGAAAGAGAGAGGTGTCACAGAAATAGATGAACTCTACTTTACCTGCTCCATGGACAGTCAGCTACCAACTAAAAATTCCGTTGTAAGAGGATAGTTTATGACAAATTAAGATACCTAAGTTCAATTAAAATAGAAGAGTTCATCTTTCTTCCAACAACAACGTGATAGAACTATATTATTTTGTCTTAGACTTATACAAAATTATGATTTACACGCATGCAATGCTGTGCACACACATACACTTTACACAGACTCATATACACACATAAAATAAGAATTAGCTTGAAAATAGTTTTACTGGAGCTAAATTAGCTCCAATACGGTTCAGTGTTAAAAATATAAAGCCTAGGCATGAGAAATAAAAAAAATTGTTTTACTCATTTTATTTAAGATTTTAATAAAATCAGCGATAGCACAATACAATGGAAAATGATGCAACAATAGTCAAGCATTATCATAGACACATTAGCGACCAATGATTTTATTAAAGTAAGCAAAATATTATTGTTATATTTTATTTTTTTTAATGCATGTAAATGCTTATGGTTATAAAGTTGTTTAACGTATTTTCTAAAATGAAGGCATGCGTGTTGTGAACGCACGGACACGCCTTGACGGGTGATCCTGTGTGTCGGGCATTATATAAGACTAAAAACCACAAACGGGTTACAAAACATCTACGCTGTCTGCACAAACACATGCTAGTCTAAATGCTAACAAACACGAATACACAAACTGCGATACAGTAGCTATTAAAAAGTACATGAAACTAATTTACATAACCTTGTAGAAGAACTGGACTGCACTGAGGCGACCATATACGTTCTCACACACCTTCTATCTACGTACGCAAACAAAAACAAACCGAAATATGATCATTTGCCTGACACAACTCAAGAAACGAGTTAATTAGTAGACAAGAAATAGTCAATCGGTGTAATGTAATCGCTGTCTGTATATCTCAAGTGTACCGGTTCTTGGATGATCTCTATGTAGTTACTATCATGGCTGGAGAGAGTGATGGGTTCCTCGTTCCTTTGTTCCAAAGTCTGGGCGGTTGGTTCCAGCGAAAACGTGTGGGCCATTGGTTCCAGTGAGAAGTGTTGAAGATGTAGCATCAGGTAATTGTGGCTGTCATTGGAGTTTACTGGCACCATTGAATAGTTGTCAGTTCGGCGAGCTAGTTCTAATATTTTTCCTCGTCTTCTGCGTACCACTGTTGGATTAGACAAAAAGTTAAAACTTCTATTCAATAAAAAGATATGCAAAGTAAAATATATTTAAAATATCAAACAACCCAGGCATATAAAACATTTTTTCGTAACGTTATAATTTACACATTTTTTTTTTACCTTCAGTAATTATCCCTGTGATACATAGAGCAATCAGACTTGCAGTTATAGATACTGTTATTGTCTGGACGAAAAGTTCTGAAAATAAGTTTCATACAAAGTTTAAATCATCTAATAAATAGATATACAAACTACATAAAACTTACGGTAGATATAACGCAAAGTATAGATATATTAAAATCTAGATTTATTGTAGCCGATATTGCATTGTTTAGTGTTGCTAAATTAAAGTTGGACAATATGTATTTGAGTTGTTCGTAAAATACGAAAAGTGCAAGACCAATTGTTCCTCTTTCTCAGTAACTCTTAACGTTAAATAACCTGACACATAAATGTGTACTTTAATTAGCTTTATGTATAAATTACTAAAACACGAAATTTAAAGAGGACCTATAAAGTCCTTAAGACCGGTAAACTTTGAACACATACTAGCAGTACATTGATTACCTGTGCAGATCACGCAATAAGCGGGCTCCAAGTGCTAAATAACCGATGCGGATATCTAGGCGAAAACTGCACACTACCACCAGTGCCGCACACTACCGCCAGTGCCGCACACTACCGCCAGTGCCGCACACTACCGCCAGTGCCGCACACTACCGCCAGTGCCGCACACTACCGCCAGTGCCGCACACTACCGCCAGTGCCGCACACTACCGCCAGTGCCGCACACTACCGCCAGTGCCGCACACTACCGCTAGTGCCGCACACTACCGCCAGTGCCGCAAACTTTGAACACATACTAGCAGTACATTGATTACCTGTGCAGATCACGCAATAAGCGGGCTCCAAGTGCTAAATAACCGATGCGGATATCTAGGCGAAAACTGCACACTACCACCAGTGCCGCACACTACCGCCAGTGCCGCACACTACCGCCAGTGCCGCACACTACCACCAGTGCCGCACACTACCGCCAGTGCCGCACACTACCGCTAGTGCCGCACACTACCGCCAGTGCCGCACACTACCGCCAGTGCCGCACACTACCGCCAGTGCCGCACACTACCGCCAGTGCCGCACACTACCGCCAGTGCCGCACACTACCGCCAGTGCCGCACACTACCGCCAGTGCCGCACACTACCGCCAGAGCCGCACATTACGGACTGTGTCGCCCCTCCGATATTTCATTTTTTTAATGGTGAAATCCTTGGAGTATTTTCAACAACTGAAAATTTAGTTTCATGCCGTTATAGATGAAACCCACAAACTTTCATTTGTATAAGGAGATTACTGTATTTAAATATTAAATGACTCGTACTATTATTATCCGGATATGTCACTCCTTGTTGAGTTAATGTTGTAACTTCAAATATTATTTTCTGAGTTGGACAAATATGAACTTCATAAACGGCTTTTATTCTACTTTTATTTGTTTCTATTTCCAAGATGATCCAGTGTTTCTGTCTGCCTTCCTTGAAAGGTCGCCATGTTTGATTGGAGTTATGCAGTTTTTTTCCATCCAAGTAGATAGGAAAAATTGGAAGAACATCTCCAATATAAACGACACAAAACTCTAACTGGATCTTGTCGTTCTCGTGTGCTTGTATCTCTACAGTTGAGTTTTGATAGGAGCACGGCTGTACGCCTGGAAAACAAAATAGTATGCATAATCTAGGTGTCTTTACCAGCGTTAAGCATATCACAGTCTTAAACCTAACATTATGCTGACCATAACACAACTTATAGAAAGGTGAAAGTGAATTGAAACTGATGAAATTAAAACATTATATGTAGCAAATATTCATTTAAAACTAAAACAAATACATTAACGTAGTCATATTTAAATGTGAATAATGAATTGACTTTGTTAAATATCCAAAATGTAGACTTACAATTTTTGACGATTATTTCCAAATTTTTAAAAAAGATAGCTTGGTTCAAATATTTTCCACTGCAGTGGTAGGTTCCCATGTCATAACAGCTGATGTTGTCCAAATGGTGAGTCAGCTCCCGTACATTGTGTGACGTGTGATTTATCGACCTCTTGTGACTGAGTGACAGAGTTGTTACGTCCTTTAAATCTTCATCAGTCAACAGGCATGATATTGTGACGTCTCTACCAGTCGACAGTAGAAGCTGCGAACCGTTTCCTGCAGGCGGTATGACGTCATTGATTTTTATCAGCACGCGCTCTTCAATATCTGGCGTGAAACATAGTGAGTTGTTACAATATTATAATACCCACAGTTTGGAAATTACCCAATATCATAAAGAACAAGTTTTACAATATATCAAATAAAATGTTAGCTTGTGTGTATGTATACTGGCATTGCAGGTTTTCGATTCACACATCAATTTCTATAGTTTAACAAAACAAGGTTAAGCTGATAAATACATTAGAATTGAATTACACATGTAATTCTATCTTTCACCAAACTTCAACAGGTTGCCACCAACTGTTACGTCCCTTACATGTCCCTTGATTGTGTGTATGTGTGTGTGTTGTGTGCTAAAATGAAAGGTACCTATTTTTGTGTATAGTTGAAGTCCTTGGTTGTGTGTGTTTACATGGAGCGAGAAGTGTTTACGTGAGGTGTGTCAGGTGACGTGTGAAAAAGCGTGTGCTAGTGTGTGAAGCATTTAGTTGTAGTGTGGCTGTGGACGTTAACTGTTGATAAGTATCGTGTATCGTTATTTTTGTAGTAAAGCTGTTTATAACTTACAAGCCGATCCGCGGTATACCATACGACGCTATTTAATTGTTTTATTTTCTACTTTCAGTAATTCATAATTTACGAATTCGACACTACCAATGCTGTGACTAAAATACTTAATTTAAAACTCATGTTCTTAATGTCCAAGATATTTACGTTTTTTTTTACCTAATTATGTTTTAATTATTAGTTCATAACGTTCAAGATATTTACCTTTGCACATCATTAAAGTAAATTTATAAATTAGACTCATGTTTTTGACGTTAAAGATTGTCACATTGTACGATCCAATGTCTAGACTTGTCACGTTCGTTAGCTCTATCTTCAACACTTGTTCATCATGGTCTCGTTTCTGAAACTTGATTAAAATTTTCTCAGAGCGTGTGGCACCTCCACTCATGTGGATCGTGTGGTTGTTGATGGTCACGTGACGGGCTAACGGTTGAGCTGAGTGAACACACAATTCAACCACAGCTGTGTAATACAACTCAACATAGTGTCGTCGTCTCGGTGGTCTCCCAGCACAGAACGCAGGCGGGTCTACAGCAGGCAGATAGGTCGTAAGCAGAAGTGAAAACAATTAGTAGCATAATATTCATGTGTAGCTCTATGAATGCATTTAGCTTATGTAGTATTGTACCCATTGATTTAAATGTAGTAACGATTCCTCGTCGTTTATATACAACAAAATTATAACCAACACAAAAAAAAGAACTTACATTTCTAATCTTATCGTGTTTTTTGTATATGATTTACACGGACAAAGTAAAGTAACTAACGTTTTTATACATTTTATCCTTTGATATATCTTCGTAATCTATGCTTAAAGAGACTGAAATCAGATACAATTTAAGCCTATGTTTCTACTGACCTAAGTTTTCTGTAAAAAAGATCGAGATGTTCTTGTCGTCTGCCAATAAAGTCAAATTACTGTCGAGGTAATCGCTTGTGAAATTACTTATTTCCACGGTGACGTTGTATTCAAAATCTAAGTATTTTGGTTGAATGTGGATCTTCACGTCAGAAAACTGCATGGAATGGTAGAGATTCGAACCCGAGACGATACAGACACTGAACCTCAGTGGGTTTCCTATAACAGCTTTTACTTTACCGGTAAAACTTTGATCACAGAATCTGATGGGACCTACAGAACCTATTTTGTATTAGCAATAAATACTCTAAGTAAACATAGTTTATATCTAAGTCATTTACAGCCTCACTAAATGCAGTGCCTTGTCATATTACGTTTAAATTGATGTCGTTAAAAACATAATTGGAAATATACATAATCAATCTATATGTGTATATATATATATATATATGTATATATATATATATATATATATATATATATATATATATATATATATATATATATATATATATATATATATATATATATAAATACATATATATATATATATAAAATTATAGATTTTATAAAAATGAGAGTCGGTACTTACACCATGTTAAGTTGAGGTCAATTGTTGCTACAAGCTCCTCCTCGAAGCCATAAGCTGCTCGACATTTGTACGTTCTCATGTGTCTCTCACACAACAGATCGACTTCTACGTGTTGCAATATGAGAATGTTCCTACCCTCTGAATTTAACTTGAAATAAGGTAGGTATTGTTTATTTCTTCCATACATAATTTTAAGATCTTTTGGGTAGCCTGTAGCATTGCAAGTTAAAACAAGTTCGCTGTTTTCGTTGCAGACTTGATAATTCAAATGTATGTTCTGTTCTGAGAAATTTTCACAAACGTTCTTACATTTTAGAACATAGATTACACTGTATAATAGTAATAAATACGGTGAACACAAGCGATAGCACGTTGCCTAAGACACTTAAGTACTTGTTTGTGAGGTAACACATTATCTTCCCCCCCCCCTCCCCCAAACTTCCGTCAATTTGGGTTAATGGTTAGGGTCAGCGTTCTTCAGCGTGAAAGGGAATGACTCTGAGGGATAATGTCGGGGAGGCGGAGGTAGCGAGGTTTGTGAGAGGTCATTAACGAGTGGGGGGGGGGGGTAATGACCTTGACACAGGTTGTGCATGGCAGATAACTAAAGAACCGAAGTAATATCTTAGAACTTATGAGATGAGTAGGAGAAAAGGTATCGGATCATATGTTAAAAACCACTGTGATCTGCAACAAATTCTGGCAGAGATTGCCAAAATTTGGATGATTAGCCAAGCAAGCACATATACCAACACAAAGTCAAAATAGTAAGACAACTGCAATTTTACTTCCATCGATAATCTGCTGAGGCTAAAAGACACACACACACATATATGCATATATATATATGCATATATATATATATATATATATATATATATATATATATATATATATATATATATATATATATATATATATATATATATATATATATATATATACATATATATATATATATATATATATTTATTTATTTATTTATTTATTTTATATATACATATGCTACTGAATGATGAATGTTTATTAATTTTGTGTTCATCGCTGTTTCTGCATGCGTGGATTAGGATGTACGTGTTTAGAAAAAAAGTGTGTTGGTGTGTGTGTTTGTAATTGTGTTCGTGTGGCTGTGTTTATTAGAATCTTTGTATCGAGGCCAGCGGATAGATGCATGTAAAATGAGTGTGTGTAATATTTTCTGAGTATTATTGTGTGTTTCTGTGTGTCTGATTATGTTTGTTATGTTGTCTTCGGAAAATGTCTTTCAAACATTATGTTAACATGATGTTAAAGATAAAATACACTGAGACACTTCAATATTCATTGGTACGTCATTAATTTATGAGTAAACGGTATGACTCAACAGAACCTTGGACTGTAACATGAAGAGACTCTTCAATGAGTTCTAATTATATACGAGAAGAGCTTGAAAAGTTATGTTGCAACTATCCCTCAGCTCTAACGTTATTTAAGTCAATCGGGTACCAATTAAAGCTAACTGAGGAATCATCAAGCATCGATTAACCAAAAAAAAAGAAAAGGAGTTGAAGCGCACAATAATATTTTTAGTTCGGTTACCTGTTCTGAAGTATGATTTGAATCAGCCAAGAGAAAAAAAGATTACGATTAGAACTTGAACTCGTCAATGAATTAGAGTTTTAAAAACAGGCGTTCATATAATTATATCTAGTAAACATCAAATGTGTTTGATCATGCACGCATTCTATATGAAGTCGTCAACTATGTATTAGCCATATCTCTCATTAAAGCTCAATGTTTATTCCAGACTTTTAACCCTGAGGGGCGGGGAGGGGGACACTTGACATTTGGGGGGGGGGATGTCTACATTTTCCGGGGGGGGGGGGGGATGGACACTAGTAAAAGTAAATGTACAATATATAAATACCATCTCGTTTGGGGGGGGGGGGCAGCAAGACTTCCTGGAAGAGACTCTGTTAAAGATGAAATGTATAAATATATAAAGGGTAAATTAAAAAAAAAAAACTTAATTAGTAAATTTTTCGGAAGAATTTATTTTTTCCTGGTGTCGTTTTCTTTTTAATAATAAAATAATACAGAAGAATAAAATTGTAAATTTTATGGTGTGCGATACAGTAGGCCAATAGTATAAACTATGCATATTCTTAACTGATAAATGGAGGATAAGTCTATGAATTAAATACTTACCGTGGTACTTTTTTTTTACTAAATGGACGTTTGAACGAATGTTTGCTCACAAATGACATATCTATAGCACCGCTATCCGCTCATGATAGTTGTGTTTTCATTTTTACATTAAATGACTTTGATAAACTGTGCCATATCGTGTAGTACAAATATAACATACATACTAACATGGTCCAACTATGATCATATGTGTCAAGACTTTACTCATCAGACAGACAGACAGACAGACTAACCTAGTTTAACTTTGATCCTGCGTGCTAAGACTTCCTTCTCTGTAACGGTCAGTACCAAGCTTAGGAACTGTAACTGTGAGACTTTTTTGATGTAAAGATGGACGTTATGGTACAACCCTCCAATGTGGGTCCAGTCGAAAATGTACTGGGGGTCATCTTTCCCTGGGGTCAGGGTTGTGTTTCCAATCCTTAGCTGGGGGTAGGGAGGGTGAGCCCTTTGTGTCACAACACAAAATGACACGTCTGCTGGTCTGGAAAAATCGGCGGTTAATGTCTGCTGATGGTCGTTTTGTCGACACAGCTGGGGAGGACCTGGAGTTAGAGATTTTATAAAATTATTAGCCTACCCGTAGCGTGTTGCTGCGATCTGGTAGACTACTGCTCACGAAATCAACGCATTTTGGGATGGTTTTGTCAACTAGCTACTAATCGGTATTATTTATAGGATTAATGTGGACTTTCTCGAGAACGGAATT